TGTTTTGTTTTGTTTGTTTCTCTGTCTCTCCTTTTACCCCACTCTAATAGAAAGTTAGCTCCATGAGAGCAAGGCCTTACATTCCTGGGGCCTCAGTGCCAGGCCTGCAGTGGTTATTTGAAACGTTGTTGAAAAGCAGGTGTTATTAAATGGGTGTCTGGTTCTTTTCCATTGTTGCTCACAAGAAGTCTGGTTATTCTTTACCTAAAAGCTGTTGAAATCATTTTGGTGTTCTATTATTAGATTTAGTCTTTGTTTCCTCAAGTCTTTAGTGAACACTTGCTATGTGATATGTAAGATGCTTTAGTTCCCACACTATGTTCAACCTGGAATACAAAAACCAATTTTGTTTGTTGATCTTATCATATGTTGTACCCATACTGCATAGTCCTATGTTATTTAAAGCTAGCTTGCAAAGCTTGGTTCTTAAGTCTTTTGGCTGTTAATTTTTTCAGTCAACAGCCATCTGATGTACTACTGTAATCCCAGTCCCTAGGTTGCTTAGACCACTCTTGTTCCTTGGGCATAGTTCCAGGTTGCAGTTTTACTCTTTGAGGCCACTTGAAACTCTGTTCAAATTGTTCTTCACTCTCTGCCCAGTAGCACTTTTGAATTCATTTCGTTTCTACATGGAAAATGTCTAAGAGAGCTTTCTGTGCCCGTTTTATCTAATCCTTTCTCTTTTCCTGCTTTTCAACTGTAAAGCTTTTCATTGCATCCTTTAGTGTCTGTGTTTTCATTCTTCTGGCATTCCTTTCATCTGTTTTTTATCCTTCCTATTTATGCTTCTAGATAGTTTAATTAAATTATCATCAGTCACACAAGTCAGGTTTAAAAAATTTTTAATTCTAAAGCCTTTTAAAGTAGAAATGTTGTCTTGATTTTGCTTAGATTTTGTGTGTCACAGCTGAAAGAAGTTCTTTAATTCACATTTACCTTTATGAAGCAGGTGCTTGAGCCTGGTGCCTTAGACCACTTGGCCCTCCTAAATACAGCAATATTTACCTTTATTTTTATTTATTTTTTAAAAAAGATTTATTTATTTATTAGAGACAGCAAAACAGGGGAGGGGCAGAGAGTGAGGGAGAGAAGCAGATTCTGCACTGAGTGCAGAGCCTGATGTGGGACTTGATCTCATGACCTTGAGATCATGACCTGAGCCAAAATCAGGAGTTAGACGATTAGATGACTGAACCATCCAGGTAGGCACCCCATCATATTTACGTTTATTATTTTATTTTATTTATTATTTTTAGAAGATTTTATTTATTTGACAGAGAGAGACAATGAGAGAGGGAACATAAACGGGGAATGGGAGAGGGAGAAGCAAGCTTCCTACTGAATAGGGAGCCTGATGTGGGGCTCGATCCCAGGACCCTGGGACTGTGACGTGAGCTGAAAGCAGATGCTTAATGACTGAGCCACCCAGGCACCCCTATATTTACCTTTAAATGAAGGTTTGGACCTTAAGATATATTACTTCTTAACCTGTTTCATTGTATAATAGGTGTTGAAATGATATTTGGAAGGGGCACAGAAGCAATGAGGAGGCTGCTCAGACTGCATCTGTCTGCCTTGAGGACTGAGGAAATTTGTATCTCTGCACTGTACTCTATTGATCTAACATTTGGAATTTCTACCTTAAGGATGGATAGACTGAAGCAGTGTGTGAACACTCTGAATGCTTTATTTTTTGTGTTTGTATATATTTTTCTTAAGAAAGAGTTATATAACTTTCATTAGATTCTCGAAGAAGTCTATGATCATTTGCTTTTGAGCACTTAAAGTTTTTTTGGGCTGGGGGGGGGCACCTCTATCCCCTGTATCCATCTCCCAGTTTCAACAGTTAACAACTCATAATTCATCTTGGTATACTCCTGCCTCTTTCAGTTTACCCCACCAGATTATTTTGAAGCAAGACCCATACATTAAAACATTTCATTTGTATGTATTTATATAGCCATATCTGAAAGGTAAGGCTTCATTTTTCAATGATAACCATATGCTGCTACCATTATACCTACACAAAATAATTCTTTAATATCATAAAATACCCATGAACTTTCTTACATAACCACAATGCCATTATTTCACCTAATAAAATTATCTAATGAACTATTACCCAGTTCATAATTAGATTTCCCTGGTTGTCAAAATACCTTTTTAAAGTTGGTTTGTTACAGTCTGTTCATACTATATTTATTGGGTCTGTCAAGCGTTTTTAAACCAGAGTGGTCCTTCCGCCTCCTTTTTCCCTCTTGTCACTGACGGTTTCAGAAATTGAGTCTGTTGCCCTATGTAATGGTCTACATTCATGATTTGTCTGTTTGCTTTTTTGTGGTGTGTTTAACTTTTTCCTTTACGTCCTATACTTCTTATAAATGGAAGTGAGCTCTTGAGACTTGGTGTGAAATTCAGCATGTTTGGTAAGAACACTTCCTAAATGGTGCTGTGTGCTTTGCAAACATCACAGTGATGGATTTTTTTTATTTTAAACTTCTAGTTATACTAAGATTGATAAGGATGTGACTGTCTGATCTCAAGTAGAAAATTTCCCCATAAGCCTTTCTCTAAAGCCATCAGAAAGTGGTCATTTTCTAGTTGCTCATTATTTTATTTAAAAAAAATTCTGATGGGCTCTCTGGCACTTTAGGGGATTCTTTCTCTCTCTCTCTCTCTCTCTCTCTCTCTCTCTCTCTTAAAAGATTTTATTTATTTAGTTGACAGAGAGAGAGCCAGAGAGCATAGGCAGGGGGAGTGGCTAAGGGAGAGGGAGAAGCAGGCTCCTCACAGAGCCGGGAGCCCGATGCTGGGCTCCATCCCAGCACCCCGGGATCATGACTTGGGTTGAAGGCAGAGGGTTAAAAGACTGAGTCCCTGAGGCATCCCTCATTTTTTTATTTTAATAAAATTCATTGCTTTGGTTATTAGGGAACTTGAGCATCTTTTCTTATGTTTATTGGCCATTCAGCAGTTTTTTTATGACTTGTTCATGGCTGATTTTTCTATTGAATTTTTTTTCTTTTTCTTACTTATTTTCAAATGTTCATTATCAGAGATATAATCTTTTATCTGTTTTACCTCTTGTAAATATTTGTAACTGTCTTCTGTATAGAAGCTTGATTTATATGGTCAATTTTTTTTTAAAAGATTTTATTTATTTATTTATTTCACAGACAGAGATCACAAGTAGGCAGAGAGGCAGGCAGGCAGAGGGGGAAGCAGGCTCCCCGCCTAGCAGAGAGCCAGATGCGGGGCTCGATCCAAGGACCCTGGGATCATGTCTGGAGCTGAAGGCAGAGGCCTTAACCCACTGAGCCCCCCAGGCGCTCTTTGTGGTCAATTTTTATCTTACATTTATGGCTTTTGGTTTAAGGTTTTACTTAGTTATGCTTTCTATACTTTGAGGTAATGGAGGGGAAATAGTTTATTTTTTCTCGGTAACTCTTTTCACTTTTGCTGTGTATGGAGTATATTTTGTATATGGTATAAGATAAGAATAAAATTTACTTCCTGCATAAAAATCAGTTGTCCTAAAGCAGTTTATTGAAAGTCTTCTTCCTACCACATTGAATTGTATGCCATATTTATGATATTAAATTCACAAATTTACAGTCTCTTTCTAGACTCCACTGTGATCTACTGATGATATTAATATTACCACAGATTTCTAAAAAAAAATTTATTTATTTATTTGACAGACAGAGATCATAAGTGTTGGGGGGGAAGCAGGCTCCCCGCCGAGCAGAGAGCCTGATGCAGAGCTCGATTCCAGGACCCTGAGAACATGACCTGAGCTGAAGGCAGAGGCTTAGCCCACTGAGCCACCCGGGCTCCTCCATAGATTTTTAATTATAATAGTTTTGTACTACATTTTAAGGTCTAAGTCACTGTCAGTAATCATTTTTTTCCTGAGTTTTACTGATTTTTTTCCCCACACATATGCTCTTCCATTGAAATTCAGAATTAGTTTGTGATTAGTCTCATTGTGCTTTAACTGTAATGGCATTAAACGTGGTGGAACTGACTTTTAAAAAAATTAAATTGATTTTTCCATTTGAGAATGTAGTTCTCTATTCAGATCTTTTGTGTTTTTTTTGGCTAAGGTAGTTTCTGCACTATTCTTATTAGTTTGTTTCTGGGGATTTTATGTTTAGGGTGGTTATTTTTGTATTGACACAAAATATCTTATTTATGATTATTTGGATTGTGAATACAGAGAAGTTTGCTTCATTTTTGTTCGAGTATACAATCATACTTTAAAATAAGTCTAAGTAAGATTAGAAGGAATATATATACTTATGCGCACGATATAAACTTTTCAAATAAGCTTTAAGTATTTCTGTCCCTTACATATTCATTAATACACTAAGTTAGAAATAGTTAAGGAATAGAAAATGTGAATTTTTTAGGAATTGATCAATTTCTACTTAATGGTGTATATAAAGGATGGAAGTAATAAAGTAATATGTGAAAGTTATAAATTGCAGTTAAAAAAACACTAAATCCTGGGGCGCCTGGGTGGCTCAGTGGGTTAAGCCGCTGCCTTCGGCTCAGGTCATGATCTCAGGGTCCTGGGATCCAGTCCCGCATCGGGCTCTCTGCTCAACAGGGAGCCTGCTTCCCTCTCTCTCTCTCTCTCTCTCTGCCTGCCTCTCCGTCTACTTGTGATCTCTCTCTGTCAAATAAATAAATAAAATCTTTAAAAAAAAACAAAAAAACCCCACTAAATCCTGTAATGAGATTTTCTTTTTGTATTCTAGCTGGCACCTAACTAGTGTATGGTCTTTTATTAGGAGGAAATCCTCCTCAACCACATATTTTATTTAAAGACTGATTAAAACTATAATCTTTTAACTTGGTACCTTAAGAATTGTAGAGGAATAATAAATCAGCTTTGATACTGGCCTGCATTCTGTTTATGTATATTGTATATAGAGGTAACATGTTTCTGGCAGATCAGACATCACTATTAATTTTTTTTCTTTTTCATATTACAGGTTTTGCAAAAGGCATCAAATTAAATCAAGTTCAAATATTCCCTGTGTCCCCAAAGACTTATTGATGATGTCTGAATTTGTTCTTCCAAGATTTATTTTTTGTCTTATTCAGTACTTAAGAGAAGGCTATAATGAACCAGGTATGTTTAATCTACTTTTTGTTAGTACTCTTTTTAAGTTCCCAATGAACAGAGTTTAGCATTAATAACAAGGTGAATTTCTTCAGATATAATTTTTTTGTTTAACGTGTTTCATGAGATGACTATGAAATAGAGACTAAATAAAAACATACTTTAGTATACATCAATTATATAACCTCATAGATACCCTGTAGTGACACAGTTTGGGAGTTTCTGCTCCTGGGATCATAGATGCTTAGGATCAAACTTACTTGGCCTTTTGCAGGTGGGGAAATAATCATTTTATGGGGTTAAAGTGTTTTTATTTATAATTATATTATGATAGAACAGAATTAAGAAGTCCTGGAAATGTGTGAATTTAACTTAGAATTTTAGAAGATAAATTACTATTTCACGATCTCTCTCTCTTGTTCTCTCTCTCTCTTTTTTAATAGATATCTCTATGTTTTTATTCTTCTCCATATATAATAACTTAGGAGAGAGTCAAATTGCTCACTCTCCATGTTACAGGTAGAATGTATGGGAGTGAACATCATGGTATTACTGAAAAGAAAAAAGAAACATGCAAATTATAGATATTCTTGCCTTTTAAGATTAGTCCAATCTTGATTAATATACTTCAGTTAAATATTTTGGAATTAGATATTATCTGTTAAAGTTGTCAGTCTGACATTGTGAATTACAGATACCAGTTAGTGTGGTATAAATCAAATTTATTAACTTTTTGTGATCTTTTACTTTTCTGATGATACTTGTATTTTTATCATTTAAAGGACTGCATCTTGAATTACTTTTAGAGGTTTTAAATTATTTATTTACTCTAAATAATCTTAAATGCAGTTTGAAATTATGACAGACATATTTATCCATCCCCCATCATTGAAGTGTGAAGAAACATAGAACATCTTCATCATTTTTAAAAGTACTATGTTATTCTCATTGTAAGCAAACACTTAAACTTCTTGTTTCTACATTTTAAGCAAAATACACAATTCCTTGTTAACAACAACCTTCACCCGTCTCAGAGTATATGTCTTAAAATACAGGAAGAAATATTATTTTGATTCAGGCCCAAACTACTCTGTCTTTGGAATGAAGGAACTAGAGACCAGCTGGGTTATTGGACTTGCTTTTGTGCTATTTCTTATATACTAGTTAACAGAGTGTTTGGAAATTTACGTTTTTTATTATGTGTCCTATTTTAAAAAGGTAATAAGTAGAAATCATTTATTATGAGAACCTTAAAACTTACAATTATTTTGATCAGAGAGTAATTCATATAAAAGTATATTATGTTTATTTTTTTCTTTAGGGACTTCTAATAGTTGTTCATAGATAGACGACATAGGTACATAGCTTTGATAATTGTTTGTTACCATTATCTGAAAATGCAAAGGAATGAATGGAAGCACTTTTTTGTCTTGAGTGTCATGAACTTAGGGTCATGAAATTTTCCTTTCTATATTACCACTTATGCTCTACATTCAGTTCTTCTTTCTGTGCAAGAAAAATTACTGTATTACTTTGTGTAGAGATCACTTTAAAATTAAAGAACAGACTTGGAATCATTTAATCTGAGGTAATAGAAGCTCAGAGATTTTGGTGTTTGACAGATGCCTTGTGTTCCATTTCTCATTTCATCCTACAATCCTCAGATGAGTGTCAGAGTTCATCTAGAGCTCTTGCAAACAAAGAACAGTTGTTAATTAAATGTTTGCCATGTTACTACATAAGTCACTGGGGAGGACATAGAGATGAGTAATATACAGTATTAGTTATCCACCGAGAAAGTTAAGGTTTTTTTGGTCTGGGTCCCAGGACTCAGAGTTATTTAGAATTTTATTCACAGATCATCTTTGAACTGGGTTGTGAATTCCTTGGATGTAGGAACTAGGTCTTACTTAGTTTTGGTTCCCAGTGCCTATCACGTAGTAGATGCTGAGTAAATGTTGAATGAAATTGATGTCCTCTTTCCTGGGAACACAGGCCCTCCATTAGCTCCCTTATATGTGTCCTTTTAGCTAATTATGTCTGAACTCTAAATCTCATTTTTAATTTCTTTAGGACCTCAGTTTCTCTGAAAATTCTTTTTTTTCCCCCCTCTTAAATGTTCTTTTTCAGTTGCTGTACAAGTTTCTTTTCTCTTTCTCCAGCTCTACTAGGCATATCTTTTCTGGTATTTAAAAAACTATTTTAGTAAAAACATTTATGTTTATGAAAACAGTTATTTTTTTAATTTTAGTTGCTATGACCTCCAGCTAGCATGAGTCTGTATTTTTAGAATATGATAGAGGATGGGTTATTTGCTACATAGGTTTAAATTTAGTGCTGACATAATTTTGTTCTAATATTCTTATACTACTCTCAAAATTATTTGGTTTCTGTCTTATTTTAGGAAGTGATCTTAACTTTTTCTTAAACACAGTCTAGTTTTGAAATGATGTTATGTTTACATTCTATATCTGGAAAATATAACACTCTCAAATTGAATGCTTTTTAACTAGACTAAGTACTTAATACCTTACGAAGTCATCTCTTTTCTCCATCTACTTTTTCTCAGAGGATTGAATTCCTGAGTGAGTCTGCCTTAGGCTGGTGCTGGGTGAATAACTACCTCCTCCTCCTCCTCCTCCTTTTTTTTTTTTTTTTTTTAATATTTTATGTATTTGAGAGAGAGTAAGTGAGTGAGAGAGCATGAGAAGGGTGAGGTGGAGGGGCAGGGTTAGAGGGAGAAGCAGACTCCCTGCTGAGCAGGGAGCCTGACGTGGGGCTTGATCCGAGGACCCTGGGATCATGACCTGAGGCCAAGGCAGATGCTTAAGTGATGGAGCCACCCAGGTACCCCAATGATAACTACCTTCTAAACAGAGTTCTTATATTAATTTTTTGATTATAAAATACTGTTATCCAAGTTACTATAATTTTAAAAGAATAAAATATGGTTATTTTTAGCAAAATATTTTAAAGGAAGTTAATTATATTATATGCTTTTTCAGCAGCTGATGTACCCTCAGAAAAAGACCTTAACAAAGTCCTTCAGCTTTTGGAACCTCAAATTTCCTTTTTAGAAGATCTAACTAAAATGGGAGGCGCCATGCGGTCAGTTCTTACTCAGGTTTTGACAAACCAACAAAACTACAAAGATCTGACTTCTGGTAAGTAAAACATCAGCATAGAAGAATGTTAAAATTTTCTTATGTCACTGTAATCATAAGAAATTGTGTATTTTCAAACTTAAGTGTAAAACATAGATTTTTTTTTTCATAGAATGCTAAAGGTGGAAGTTATTAAAAGTACTTTTTATTTTATGGATGAAGAAACTGAGTCCCAGAAAAATTAAATGACCAGTTCAAGGCCCCAGAAGTAACTTATTTTGGAATTAGCACTAGAATCCAGGTCTCCTCTAAGTTTTGGTGTGACATATTCATAATCTTATTCCACCTTCCCTTCCCCAAACAGTAACAAAAACTACTTCTGTGTCTTTATTTTTGGTATTCTGTATTTTTGGGTTGTGTATGGCATAGGATTTTATAATAATGTAGAATTTAAGTTACAAAACTTGGAATTGTTGAGTATGTTTGTATATGATATACTGTTATATAAAATGCTTTAGTTTAAAACTCTTCAGGTTAGCTCAGCTTTATAGTACAACAAATACTTTAAATAGCATTATTTTTGCTGGTTCCTGAACAACGTATTTTGAAAATTGAAGTTTGTGTTTTCTTTAGAGTGGTGAAATTTTCATGTGAATTGTGAACTGTATGTTATTCAAAGATAGTCTTATCTGACATTTATTTTTTTCAGCAGATACTTATTAAACACCTACTATGTACTTGGTTTGGGGCTAGGTACTAGAGTTTGGGGTATGGAATGCAAGTAGTAAAGCAGGTAATCCTGTCCCTGCCTTTATAAAGCTTAAGGTCTAGTGAGTGAGATGGCATTAATACAACTCCCAAACCAAAAAAATTGTGTAATTTATAAACGTGTAGTAAATGATATGAAAGGGTAGGGCAAGTGTTTGAAAGGGAGACTTGATTTCACTGATGGGGAAGATGGGGGAAAGCTTCACTGAGGAAGTGATATTTAAAGTAAAACCTAATAGTTGAGAGAAAGTCATTTAGCTAGAGGGTGAGGGAAATTAGGTGGTAATGGGATGGGGTTGTATTCAAGGTAGAGGACATCCGCTTTTGACTGTTGGGCTAGCCTGTCTGTCATAAACAACATAAAACTGGAACAGTGTGAAGCAGCTGTTATTAGGCATTGGACAGAAGGTGACTCAAGACTGTAAATCTTTGAGAGAAAAGAAACGCATGAGATGAACCCCACGATTGCTATGAATCTCTGTCTAGGGATACCTTCCTGACTGCAGAGCAGTGAGCTGGCATTGAAGCAGTGTGGTGGCCCACCTGAGCTAAGGAGATAGAGATCACAGTTTAGGACATCTGAAACAGTTGGAAACTGGCATCTTTGGGGTACAATACCAAGAGGTAGTGGGGCAGGTGATGGGGGACCCCTGAAAATGCTTTCAGGGGTCTGAGGTTCTGAGGTGCACATGTACAAGATGAGACTGCCTCAGGCTTATTAGAGAGTAACTGCTGTAGGGTTAAGAGCAGAGCAGAGATAGAAGCGGTAAAGCAGTTTCAAAGACATTGGAGTGTCAGCCCAACCAGACTGGAGAGAACTTGTTAATACCACAGGCATCTAGTTGAGACACAGTTTAGAGATAATTCCTGTCAATTTAGAGGGCCTTTTGAGAACCTTAGGCTTTCTACAGACCTGCCCTTATTTTATTTATTTATTTTTATTTTTTTTATTTTTAGAGCATGGGAGATAGAGAATAAGGCAGGGGGGAAGGGCAGAGGGAGAGAGAGAGAGAGAGAGACAGAATCCCAAGCAGACTCCATGCCCAGTGTGGAGCCCAACATGGGGCTCACTCCCACACCCTGAGATCATGACCTGAGCTGAAATCAGGAGGGGATGCCTAACCACCTAACCAACTGAGCCACCCACGTGCCCCTACAGACATACCCTTTATAAACCTTCACTAAACCTTTGTGAGTTTTTGGTGATCAGGCGATATTGATTGAATGGTCTTCTAGAATTAAAATTAGTACTCTTCAAAGGAAGATAATAGAATCCAGAATCTTCTATAATGTGTCATTAGAATGTCCAGCATACAATACAAACTACTAAACATGCAGGAAAATAAGAAATTATGCCTTATAACAAAGAAATAGGGCTGTGAATAGAAATTGACGTTGAAATGGACCAGATGTTGGATTTAGCAGATAAAGACATTAAGGCAACTATTATAGGGGCACCTGGGTGGCTCAGTTGGTTAAACGTCTGACTCTTGATTTTTGGCTCAGGTCACAATCTCAGCGTTGTAAGATTGATCTCCATGTGGGGCTCCGTGCTGGGCATGGAGCCTGCTTAAGATTCTCTTTCTCCCTCTCCCTCTGTCCACCCCCTACTCTCTCCCTCTCTTAAAAAAATAAAATAATTTAAAAAAGCAGCTATTATAAATATGTTCAAGAAATTAAAGGAAGATCTGTTCAAATAATTAAAAGTAAATATGATGTTAATGAGTAAAGAGATAAAGAATCTTAGCAAAGAGGGGTGCCTGCGTGGCTCAGTAGGTTAAGCCTTTGCCTTCGGCTCAGGTCATGATCTCAGGGTCCTGGGATCAAGCCCCAAATCAGGCTCTCTGCTCAGCAGGTAGTCTGTTTCCCCCCCTCTCTCTGCCTTCTGCTTTGCCTACTTGTGATCTCTCTCTCTGTGTCAAATAAATAAATAAAATCTTCAAAAAAAAAATCTTAGCAAAGAAATAAAAACAATAAAAAATATAAATAAATAAAATAAAAAAATAAAGAAATTCTAGAACTGAAAGTTAGCATTGAGTGCAGTAATTAAATTGAAAAAAATTTACTGGATGGGCTTAGCAGCAGATTGGAGAGGGTAGAAGAAAGACTTAATGAATTTGAAGACAGATTAATAGATTATTCAGTCTGGGGGCACCTGGGTGGCTCAGTTGATAAGTGTCTGCCTTCAGCTCAGGTCATGATCCCAGAGTCCTGGGTTTGAGCCCTGCATTGGGAGAGGTCCCTGCTCAGCGGGGAATGTGCTTCTCCTGCTGCCCCTTACCCTGCTTGTGCTCTCTGTCTCTCTCTCAAATAAGGAAAATCTTTAAAAAAATAGATTATTCAGTCTCGAGAACAGAGAGAAAATGCAACAGAGTCTTCGGGACCTGTTAGAATCAGATGATTTAAAGTGCCTGTAATTGGAATCCCAGGAGGACATGAGAGTATGAATGTGGCAGAAAGGGAACATTTGAAAAAATCATGACTAAAATTCCCCAAATTGGATGAAAAACATTGACTTATAGATACAAGATGCTTAATGAGCCCCAAGCGGGATAAATATAAAGAATATCAGTCATACCTAGACACTTACTAGATTCTATGTTGAAATACTTATGGGTGAGAATGAGCTTACTTTTTAAAAAAGGGACTAAAAAATGGTGTAATGTTGAAATGAAATGAATGTAGAGAGATAGTGGCACAAATAAGGTTACCACATTAGGGCTAGATCCAGGGCAGTCATGAACCATGTGATATTTTATATCTTATCCTGAGTGTATTGGGAAGTCATGGAAATATTTTAAGAGTGACACAATCAGATATGTGTTTTAAAAAGATGACTTGTGATTTTGCCAAAAATAGATTGGAAGGGGCAGAAATAGAAAAACTCAACTGCAGCTTAGGATAAAGATGATGGTAGTTTGTATTTCAATTTTGGTGAAAGCTGGAGAAAGATCAAGTTATAGCTGGTGTTCTGTTATTTCTTCAAACCTTATTTAGGAACTCAACTGTTGTGGAAGAAAGCAGCAAGTTGTTCTTAATCATTGTAAGAATGTATACCTTAGGAATGATTTATGGTAATTGTTTTGTTTCTACAATTCCTTTATAATTATTTCTTGAAGTAAACAACACAACAGAAATCCTTGGCTGACTTTTAGTGATGGAAATCACATTAAATTTTGGTTTAGAAGTTTAAAATTTATAGGCTACTGTACTTGTAATTACTGCTTGTTTATTCACTGGCTAGCCATGTTTTTAAGCCTCTGTTTCTTTACCCCCCCCCCTTTTTAAGATTTTATTTATGTGAGAGAGAGAGAGCGAGAAAGAGCATGAGCAGGGGAAGGGGGAGGGGCAGAAGGAGAAGCAGGCTACCTGCGATCAGGGAGCCCATACAGGACTTGATCCCAGGACTGTGGGATCATGACCTGAGCCGAAGGGAGATGCTTAACTGACTGAGCCACCGAGGTGCCCCTTCATTTCTTTAAAAAATGTTAATTATAGGGGTGCCTGGGTGGCTCAGTCAGTTAAGCGTCTGACTCTTGATTTTGGCTCAGGTTATGATCTCAGGGTCATGAGATTGAGCCTTGTGTTGGGTTCTCTGCTGGGTTTGGAGCCTGGTTAAGATTCTTTCCTTCCCTCTGCCCCTACCCCTCCTCTAAAAAAAAATGGTTATTATACATTCATTTTTCTCAGCCTTGTTGTGAGGGTTAATGAAATATATTTTGTCGTTTAAAAAGTATTATAAATTTCATCTATCATGATTGAGATAAATACATGGCTTTTATTATTCAGGAGACATTTAGTAATTTCTTATATAGGATGCATAGAAGATCTTTATTCTTTATTCTTTATAAACCATGGCTAATTTTTTTTTTTTAAAACTAAGTGTAACTGTTTTTGGTATTGGACATGAAGGATGGATATATTCCTGACTGTTTAACGAGCGCTAGAGTGTTGTTGTTTTTTTTTTTAAAACCAGCCCAGAAAGACATATTTAAAAAACAAACTGTTCTATTGCAATTACTAGGCTAGCAAAGGGAGGAAATACAGAAAAGCTCAAGAAATATTAAAGAAGTTCACTTATATATTTTTATAATTGGAGAGCTTAAGATTTTAATTTAAGATACATAATTTGCCTAGGAGGTATCAAATGCCATGGTAATTTGGCTTTCAGACAGAATAATTTTTTACTTTTAGAGAATTCTCAAAATAAATAGTAAAATTTCTTTTACTATCATTCTATTCTTTTTTTTTTTTTTTTTTTAAGATTTTATGTATTTATTTGACAGAGATCACAAGTAGGCAGAGAGGCAGGCAGAGAGAGACGAAGGGAAGCAGGCTCCCCCCTGAGCAGAGAGCCCGATGCGGGGCTCGATTCCAGGATCCTGGGATCATGACCTGAGCTGAAGGCAGAGGCTTTAACCCACTGAGCCACCCAGGCACCCCTATTCTCTATAAATATGTTAAAAAAATACAAAAATTGGCAATAATTAATAAACTGCTATGTTAAAGTGAAAGTTCTAGGATTATGTAATTCTAGAACCTAAGCTTTTCAATATTTTTTTAGAACAAGTTTTTACTGCTATTTCTGTAGAAATTATATTTAATTCTTTAAATATGATGGACAGTTTGATAAAGTGGGAATTAGGAGTAATCTCAGTTTTAATATTTGAAAATTCTACTCAGGCATTATTTTATCCAGGAAGCTTTTCCTAAGTATTTTGCTTTGGATCTAGCTGCACAGTATTATGAGATCAGATTGTCAAACCACATGGTGGAAGTCTGCTATACAGTTGTCACTTACCATACTATTTACCTTTTTCTACCATGATTTTTCAAGTTTCTTGAAGGCAGGAAATAATATACCCTTGTTAATCTTTGCACCTCCTGTGACTTGCAGGTAATCTCTGGCATATTTTAGATATTCAGTTACGTAGTAGATTTTATTATTCATTATAAACATACTCTGCAATATTGTGTGAAGCTGTTTTATATTCATTCTAGGGTTCTCCTGCCATTACAATATTTAGCTATTTTATATATGTTATGTATTAATTGCTGAGGTTGCTTTATTTATATTTTGAATAGAATATTTTTTCTGATTTTAAGTTTGTTTTAAATATTAGGTCTTGGAGAAAACGCTTGTGCAAAGAAAAGTCATGAAAAGTACCTTATAGCTTTGAAGAGCTCTGGACTTACATATCCTGAGGATAAGCTTGTATATGGTATACAGGAGCCATCAGCTGGCACTAGCACTCTGGCAGTTCAAGGTTTGTCTGTTTAATTGGAATAGTGATAACTTTTCTGTATTGAAACAAAAAGGCCCTCAAACTTGACTAATTAAATTTAGAGAAATTTAAATATGTCATTCTCTTTAAGGAAAGTAGTAAAAATGTAGAAGCAAGAAAGAATATATTGGCATTTTTCTTAAATGGAATTTGGTTAGCTTATTAAGGTTCTGTTTCTAACTCATGAAAAGCATTGCTATTAAACAATAGCTCAAAACTTTTGTATCTCAATATTTTAATAAACCATGGTTTAAAACTAAAAAGAAAGAGATCCTTCTGAAACACCATTTATGATGATTAAATCTGGATATTCACTAGAGATTTTCTTTGAAGTATAAATCTGTTAGACCCGAATTTATTAAAGATAAATGTTGAACCTCTACCAAGATATCTATTAGAATGAGTTGTCTTAAGGTAATAAAACTTGGCTTTTTGTTTATGTCTCAAAATAATTTTAAAGTAACGCAATATGTAACAATTATGAAGGAAACTTTTTCTTCTCCAAAGGTTTTGCAGGTGCAACAGGAACATTGGGACAACTAGATTCTTCAGATGAGGTGAGATTTAAAACTTATTGAAAATAGAATTTAAAGTTATAGAACTATACAGAATTGTGGATATTATCTAGCTTAAATTCCTCATTTTGTAGACACAGAAGCCTAGAGTGGAATAAGTTAGCCAAGATTATAGTTATTAGATTTTTACTTCTTTATAATTTATCTCTTTCTTCACAGTTTAGAAATGGGAGATAGAAAGAGAGATCTTTCCTTAGGCAGATATCCCTAAATTGATCCAAGCTGTCAAATATATAAGGAAATTGTTTTAAGAAATTTAGCTAAGTCTGCAACAATGTATTAAAAGAATATAAAAGGTAACTGCTTTTCCAATTTCCTAAGTTACACCTTATATGTTATACCTTATTTTAAAAAGTAGTGTACTCGGAAATAATTGTCAGTTTGAAATTTAACTTTTATAGTATTTATTAGCCAAATAATAGTGTTTTTTAAATATTTCTGATAAATCCTTTATAGCATTCCTATATTTTATTAGCATACAATTTATAAGGGAGGATTTTTTTTTTTTTTTACATCTGTGTATAATCTTGATGCTTATGAAGTATAGATTTCTTTTTTTGGTCAAATTTAATGATTAAAAATTTAAAAAACCAAATTGTATTATATTTAAATATACTTTTTTAATGTAACTTTTTCTTTGAAAAACCATTTTAATTTGATACTACCACATGAAGTAAGCAAGATATCCTCTTTTGGAAAATATGATTTTTGTTATTGATGTCTCATAATTGATTTAATGCCTTATCATTTAAACTTCCTAGTAGTATTTTTCCCCCTCTAAAAAGGCTCCCACAAAATGCAGCATTTTCTGGAGTCTCTTATTGGACACACAGTTTTAAAGAGTTTTCAACAAATTGGAGAGGAAGTTTCATATGCTGTTTACAAGTTTGACTCTGGAATTAGAGTACCTGGGTTTGAAACTGGCTCCTGTACCAATTAGTAGTGTGAATTTGGGCAAGTGTCTTAACTTCTCCATGTCTAAATTTCCTCTTCTGCAAAATGGAAGTAATAAAAATATTATTGCCTGGGGTTATTGTGAGGATTGAATGAGTTCATATATGAAAGCGCTTAGAGCTTAGTGCCTGGCATATTGTAAGCACTAAATATGTGTCTGTAAAATAAAATAAAATCTTTTAAAAAATTTAATTTTTAAAAATCATTTAAAAATACTGTAAATGGTTAGCTAAAACTTTTGCTTTTTTTTTTTTTTTTAATTTGGCATACAGAGATCACAAGTAGGCAGAGAGGCAGGCAGAGAGAGAGGAGGAAGCAGGCTTCCCGCTGAGCAGAGAGCCCAACGCGGGGCTCGATCCCAGGATCCTGGGATCATGACCTGAGCCGAAGGCAGAGGCTTTAGCCCACTGAGCCACCCAGGCACCCAACTTTTGCTTTTTTTAACTTCAAAGAGTTACAAACAATTTTGCTATAATGACAAATGGGAAAAAAATTACTGGTAGTTAAAACAGACTTCCAAAAAAATCAAATAGGCTTTAAAAAAATACCTATAAACATTATTCATTTGAACTAAAATAGTATTAATTCCATTTTGAAGCTAGGGGAGGGGAGTGATGGAGGTAAGAATACTAATTCTTCATATGTCAAAGAAAGAGATAAGAAGGGATTAGATAATAGGCATGTAGTTTTGCTTTATTTTTTAAAGATTTATTTATTTATTTTAGAGTGCACGTGTGTGAATTGGGGGGGTGGGGAAGGGCAGAGTATCCTCAAGCAGACTCCCCACTCAGGGTGAAGCCTAACATGGGGCTTTGATCCCAGGACCCTGAGATCATGAGTTGAGCCGAAATCAAGAGCTGTACACTTAATGTACACCAGAGCCACCTGGGTGCCCCTAGACATTTTTTTAAAAGAAGATTTTACTTAATATATTTTGAGAGAGAAAGAGTGGGAGATAGAACAGGGGAGGGGCAGAAGGGAGAGAGACAGAGTCTCAAGCAGACTCCACACCAACCACTGAGCCTGACTTGGAACTTGAGCTCACAACTGTGACACCATGACCTGAGCTGAAATCAAGAGTCGAATGCTTAACCGACTTGAGCCATCCAGGCACCGCTAGACATGTGGTTTTTAGTAACTTATTCTGCTTTATTATTTCTTTTTTTTAAGAGAGAGCAAGTGAGCTGAGGGGATGTGGGCAGAGGGAGAGGGAGAAAGAATCTTACTCAGGCCCCACACCCAGTGCAGAGCCCAATGCAGGACTTGATCTCATGATGCCAAGATCATGACCTGAGCCAAAGTCAAGAGTGGGTGGCTTTACTGACTGAGCCATCTAGGCACCTCTATTCTGCTTTCTTTAACGGCTTTTTGTGGAGAAGCAGAATGGCCTGTTGAGAAGATGAGATCTGGGAAGACTTAGAAATTGTATATAAGTTGGTACATGAGCACATTTTTGTTTAAAGCCAGCCGACAGGAAAGGAGCCTGTATCTATCATCAGTAGTAACTGTAGAAAATTATTTCATAATGAAATGGTTTAGCGATGTTACAGGACATTTTTTAAGATAATCTAAACATCTAGATATGATCTAGAACAATAAAAGTCTATAGTTAATGTTTGTTTATATTGTAGGTTAGAACCTTCATACTGTTTTAGCATACCTGGCATTATGGATCTAATAAGAATTCTACTTTATTTTCATGAATTGAACTGATTTCTGGGTATATAGAAAGCTGATATTCAACATAGATACTTTTTTCTCTGTCTAGGAAAGAACTAACAGTCATTTTTGTCTTGGCCTAAACTCTCTGAATTCCCTTTTAAGTTGCCATGGATTTTATGGTAGGGTGCCAGAAGGAAATCCTTTTTTTTTAAAAGAAAATGATATTTATTTATTTATTTATGTAGAGTGTGAGCTGGGGGGAGGGGACAGAGGGAGTGGGAGAGAGAATCTCAAGCAGACTTCATGCTGAGTGCAGAGCCTAATGTGGGTTCGATCTCATGACCCTGAGGTCATGACCTGAGCCAAAACTAAGAGTTGGACACTCAACTGACTGAACCACTCAGGCATTCCTAGCTGGAAATCCTTTTGTGTTTGTTGGAGAGAGAAGTAATTTCTGGATGGATATCAGAGGATTTGAAATACGGCTTTTCTTTCTTTATTACCTTTGCTTCTAATCTGTCCTTATATCTTTTCTTCTGTTCTGTCTGTTCATTCCCCTGGGATTCTTTGTTTCAGCAACTTTTGTGTATAATGTTTTATATAATAATTTGTTCCTTAATTATGATTATGCCTCAATGTGACTGTCATCTTAAAAACTGGATGGTGACAAGTTCAAAATATTCATTTCATCTATCCTCAAAATACATCATTTTTTGAGAGCAGCAGAGAATTATTGTTAGAACATGTGATATATATTTAACTTATATATTTAAAAGTAGTTTAGGCTCTGATTTTTAAATCATTTTATAATTAAAATTTTAATTTATTTAAAAGTACTTTTTGTAGTTTATGTAGGTATTATATTTTCTAGTTGGGATAAAAATGGGGTCATTTGGGCATTTGAAAACTTGAGAATTTGAAGTAGAGTTGTTTAGCTAGAAGTGGATTGAAGAGATTTCTATTTTATTTTTTTAAGATTTTACTTATTTGAGAGAGAGCAAGAGAGAGTGAGAGAGAGAGAGAGAGAGATCATGAGTTGGGGGGTGCGGAGGAAAAGGGAGAAGCAGGCTCCTCACTGAGCTGGGGGCTCAACATATGGCTTGACATGGGGCTTGCTCCCAGGGCACCTCAGGTGAAGGCAGTTGCTTAACTGACTGAACCACCCAAGTACCCCTACTTTAGTTTTTCTTTAAGAGAAGCTTGAGCTTTAAAGTTGGGCAGACCTCAGTTTGAATTTTGTCTCATAATATCACTTTTGTTTTTTGCCAGTCATTTAACTTCTGAACATCCATTTTCTCTTGGAAAAGTGATGAGAATTCTGTTAGGATTAAATCCGATAACATAAAGTACCTATCACAGATAAGACAGAGATTAGACTCTAGATAAATGTTTTTGTCCTAGTACTTTATGTGAGGAGTGATTCAAGTATTTGAATTTTTAGCTATTGTGGGTCATATTATACACATTTCTACTCATCTTTCCAGAGGAAATAATTTACTAAAACATCTTTTAAAATAATGAAGTTGATTTAAAAAAAAAAAAAGATTTTATTTATTTATTTATTTTTAGATTTTATTCATTTCTTTGTCAGAGAGAGAGGGAGAGAGAGCGAGCACAGGCAGACAAAATGGCAGGCAGAGGCAGAGGGAGAAGCAGGCTCCCTGCCGAGCAAGGAGCCCGATGTGGGACTCGATCCCAGGACGCTGGGATCATGACCTGAGCCGAAGGCAGCCGCTTAACCAACTGAGCCACCCAGGCGTCCCAATTTTATTTATTTATTTGACAGAGATCACAAGTAGGCAGAGAGGCAGGCAGAGAGAGGAGGAAGCAGTCTCCCTGCTGAGCAGAGAGCCTGATGCGGGGCTCATTCTCCATCCCAGGACCCTGGATCATGACCTGAGCCAAAGGCAGAGGCTTTAACCCACTGAGTCACTAGGCGCCCCAGTGAAGTTCATTTTTAAAAATTTAATTGAAATATTACCTAAGTAATGCACAAATAGATTGTAGTTGTTTTGCCAAACAGTTCAGATTAAATAAAAGTCCCCTCTCTACCCTTCCTAATGCCAGCTCTTCTTTGGGTAACTACAGTTAATAGTTTGGATGTCTTTGACAGATCCTCTTCTATGGAGTTTAATAACTGTGTGTTTATAGAAATGCATTGTGTGTGTGTGTGTTTGTGAATAAATAAAAAATATTATGCCAGTTTGTGTCCTTTCATTTACTCCATAATGTACTGTGCATATTCATCTTTGTCAGTTTTCTTTTCTTTCCTTTTTCTATATAGTATTCTGAAATATGAATTAACTACAGCTTATGCAATCATGTCCTTAATTTGCATTTTTTTATGACAAGATACAGTGCTTACA